CACTGCTCCATGCCTCAGGCGCCTCCTAATGGCCAACCAGCCTCTCTGATCCCTGCTCTGAGTCTGAACCCTGTCCAGGGTCCTCCACATCTTCCCTGGCAAACTCATATGGTTCCTCGCTATCCAAGTCCATCAGCAGCTCAACCGGATCCTGCTGGGCCACAACATTAAGCTATTGTATTATTGCATGAACCATATTTCTAATTCATATATGCTAAGCCATAATATTCTGAACAATTTACATGTTAAGTTAAAACCACATTAAGTCTTAGTATAAAATGTGAGTTTAGCCAGAATGCAAACATTCCTAAAAACAGGAAATGCCATAAAAGTTTGGTGTAAGTGCTTTATTTTTCATGAAAAAAAGAAAAAAACGCTCAAGGCTCCTTAAGTAATTTCTGAAGGAATGTGGCTCTACACCATTTCTTCCCTCCACTCCCTTTGATGGGAACTTCTTAATCTGTAGACACATTTCAGCATGAATAATAAATGATGAATCCTGTTTTTTATTACTACAATATAATCCTTATATGCAAATGATGTTCTTTTAGCAAGGGACTTATCATCTTATTTTTTTAAGTCTCTTCTTTTTAAGGCCATAGCACTACTTGCAAGCATGGAAAATAATGTTCAACTAATTTTCTTTACCACTGGTCACAGCTAAACCATATTTCAGCTTGGATCACCTAATTCCCTGATTTTCTGAAAACCTTTACTTGTGGCACTATCCAATTTTTGCTTAAGGAATTCTGACTACTAAGGGTGACTGCAGCCAGGAAATTCTTACTATGTATGTTATAATTTCATATTTTGCAAGATATTGTATATTTAATAATACAATTTTATAGTTTTATTACATTTAAACATTACACAGAATGGATAAAACATGCCTAGATTTTCATTTATATTCAATACTACATATCAAAATTATATTTTATCTTCTATTAGTGTTACATGAAAGGTCATAACTATTTGATGCAACTTAATCTTATTACAAACCAATACTAAATCCAATTTTTTGCTGGTAGTCAGTTTGGTGATAAAGATTATAATGGTACTGAAACCATGCAAACTCATAGTGAACTCACAGAGAATCACAGAATATTTTAAATGTTTTAGGGAAACATGCAACTGTCAGACATACATTAACCTCTGCGAGTTCATTGGGGTATCCCAGCTTAGGAACCACAAGGTATTGTGGAAAAATTTATTGAGAAATTAAGGACACCATGAACCAGCAAAGTTTGGGAAATTCTGATCTAGCATACAGTATTCATAATGAAAAATATTCAGAATAATTCAGATAACTCACTTGTGTGATTTCTTTGGTATATTTTCTGCATAACCCATCTAATCCCATAAAGAGTGACTGGATATCTGAATTCACCTGTACCAAATAAATACATAAAACTCAAGTATTTAAATAAGCAACTCTGCTCAGTAATACAAATACTAATTTCTTTAGAGATATATTTATGAAATTACCGAAAGGTTATTTATAAGTCTAGTGTGCATCACGCAAAAAAAACAACATTCCAAGTCACGGTGCTAAAGGAGACTACCAAAAATATCGCTATATTTACATATTTGGCTACAGGTCCATGATCAGAATACACTTATTTAAAATGCTGTACCATTGTCATCAACACTTAGTCTGTTTTTCTTCTAGGAATTCAAAGCCATGTGCATAGCATTCCTTCTCCAAATAGATGAAGATTAAAATTATTAATGTAATGTAATGAAATGTTGTTATATTAGGTTAGGTTACATTACATTACGTTACATTATAATAGAAACTGCAAGTCTGATGGTATTTTTCTTCCCTTCCCTCTTGTAGCCCAATTGGACAGGGAGGAGGTCAACCTGATTCTCTTCTTAATACTTCTTCCCAGCATTTAAGGAATGCTTCTGTCTTTTTGTTTACATGAAGATTTCTGGATACCTCTCTGGCTAGCTACTCCATGTAAAGTAGTTTGGTCTGAGGGAGAGTGACAGGATCCAAATCATTCAACAAAAGCTTCTATAATTAAAAGTGGTCTTGAAATGGTTCCTATCTAGTACAACACCTTAATCATTATTGCATATTACATGGTAGGTATTTCTGTAATGTATATGAAAATATACATTACTTTATACATTATAATACTTACATCATTTTGCAATTACTGAATAAAAGGTAGTTATTTGTCACTTTTTCTGTACCTTTTTTGAAAGGAGTATTGTACGACATGGAACTCTGCAAATCATGCAATCACCTTTTTTACCTATAAAATCAACATAAATGCATGCTGTACTATATATTAGTTTACTGACAAATTGTAACATCTAATAAATTGCATTCTGTATTGTGTCATTCATAATTATAACTTGGAATTATATTAGCTTTTTTTTTAAAAAAAAGCAGCATATTCATCATGCTTTTTTAAAACATAATTGCAATACAGATGTTTAGACAAGGCCTTAATAATTATATGAAAATTTCTTAAACAAAATATTCAGATTTGACCAGAAATGGGCCTTTCCCAGTAATGCAAGGACTACTTCAACTGTGTCATTAGAAGGTGTGTACCTCAAGGTTGAACTGTAGACTTTCTGGTGCTTTCTGAGCTAGCTGTTTGTTTCCAGATTTTTGATTACCCAACTAGGTAACATCAATGTGAATTGCATTGATGAGGCAATCTAGTTGGGTAATAAAACATCTGCAAACAAACAAGCTCAGACAGCAATTAAGAATTCCATGTTTTAATTAGCTTTTCTAAACTAATTTTTGCCCAGTTTCTACCCATCCAGTAAAAATGAACAATATGCTCCAGATCTCATATTTAAACCAGTGTCATCTTATGAGACCGAAGTACTCTGTCGCAATAGATCCAGTACATTATGGAAAAACTTAGCCTTGGCAAACTGAGTTGACCTAGTCCCGCTGATCTTCAAGTCTGTAAAAACCTAGCTCATTCCCCAGGTATTGGGTTAGAAAATACATTTGTGAATGTTTTATTAATATGTTGGATGATTTAAAAAGAAACGTGACCAAATGTGAAGCTGCTGGCTTTTATTTATGGGACTTTATATCACTTCAGTCACAATGAATTCTTAAGGTTACAGTTGAAAAATATCCAAGATAAAAATCAGTAATATAAAAACAAAGCAACAGTCATTTCATTATATCATTATTACAATAAGATAATGTCAGCCTCATTCACCATTCATTCACAGCACTCTATCACTTCTTTATGATATAGCTTTGGACGGACCTTGAGAAAAACACAGGTTAGCAAGATTCTGGAATATTGAAAGAGCAAAGATCACTGTTGCCTCCCGGGACAAACTATTTTATAGGGTGAATATTCCATGAAATGCCCCTTTTTGTCAGATCTTTCTGTATGTGGGAAGCCTCAGCAGGCCCCTTGTTTATCTGCACCAAATAGACCAATTCACTTGGAACTGCCTTGAAAATATCTGGATCTCAACCCACTTTTATATTTATATATAAAAACATTTGAGTTTATTCTGTACATTATTATTCTTGGTGCCAACTATTAACAGGTAAGGTAGTAGCTGGAGCATTATCAGAGAATTTTAAATTAAAATATGAACCTGGTATCTGGTGAAAACATTTTTAAAGAGAAAAAAGACAGGAAGTTTCCTTTCATTGCACTAAAGTATGGAGTAGAGATTTATTTCCCAAGGTAAATGGATGGCCGCTTCTCACTAGCAGCATCACTATTTTTAAGATGATGAAAAAGACAAAATTCTAAACAATAAACACCAAAATAGGAAATCTGGAACCCCTTCCATTAGCAGATGAACAAAAGCACAAAATTGATGTAGACTTGGCAGCAGTGTTTTTTCAAGCATCTATCTGCCCCAGAATTTCTGGTTTGCCAGGATTTTGTTTAGGCTGAAATTGGGGTTTTTTAGTCCTTTTTTGCCTCTGTGTATCAATATTATTTATTCAAACATGAGAAGTCTATGATTTGGATGAGAGGATTCAACTTTCATTTTATAGAAACACTGGGGCAAAATTAGCACATTCCCAATTTTAAAATTTCAGGACCATGTCCTTTGGTAATTTACACTATTGAGAAGATCTGAATAAGGGCAAGAGAACATCCTAAGTCAGTGATGGCGAGACTTTTTGGCACTGAGTGCCAAAAAGGGAGCAAGCAGCGCACATGCCTGTATATTAGGATACACTTATTAGGGAGGCAATCCGGAAGAGGAGCGGCCTAGGGGGCATGTACACCCCTGGAAATGAACTTCCGGTTTCCAGTCGTTCATGAACACCAGCTGGTCTTCGTTTCTGGCACTACCAAACACACAAAGTTCAGCTGATCAGCATGCATGCATGCATGCCAGAAATCTAAAAGAGGAACAGGCGATGCCACATGTGCCAGGCAACATGGCTCCACATGCCACTTCAGGCATGCGTGCCATATGTTCGCTATCACTGTCCTAAGTGCTAACTAATCTCCTGTCTCTTATAAATTACTATTCTTGATTTTGAAGTAGTTACCAGGAATCAATATCAACCCTAGATAACTTTTCAAAATTGATATGCACCTAACCTTATATATCCTAATATACATGTGTCCCTGTCTTTCTTATATCCAACTCTGAGGGCTCCAGATGAAAAATCAAAACTATCATTAACAAAATTTAAAAAATCATATTAAAGCTATAAATGTTTGAATAGTAATTTGAAGAGTGCCACCCGAGTTATGGTCAGAAATGCCCTCAAGACAATTTAATGACTTGATTCACCTATTGCGATACGTAGCTTAATCCAGCAGTTTAATAAACCGCAGTTAACCAGGTTCAACCCAAGCAATCATAGTACCATGGCTTAACGCCTTAACCCAATGTGTGAACCCAGCCAATGGGAAGAGCAAGCTCCAGTGAATATCACTTGGCTATCAACAGGCTACCAGGTCCTGCCACCCCTGGGGCAGGTTACCTTTCTGGAGACACTGCCCACAGATGACATGACCGCAGTTGGTCAGGTTGAAATTTAGAGCGGCTCCTCGGGGCTTCTGGAAACATACATTGCAGAATATCAGACAAGGCATTATCAGACCAAGAATTAAATATATTTTTCTCTTCTTCTCTTGCTCTAGCTACAATCAGGCACTTGGGCTCCAGGAATACACTTATGCTACCGCCCCGTCGGACTCAAGTGACCACCAGCCACTGATCTGCAGCTCAAAAGACAGCGCGCTGCCCCCGCGAGGGCGACCGAGAGAGGGAACCTGAGGGAGGCGGAGGCCGCGTTCGTCAGTGCCGCGCACGCGCTCTTCTCCACCAAGAGAGGGGGGAGAATGGGCGGGGAGAATGCCAATTCCAATTCACGTTCTGTTTAGCCCCTCCCCCTCCCGGTCTCTAGCGAGAAAAGGCTACGCGTACACTACGTAAAAACCGGAGCGTGGCAAACTTTTGCTCGCCTTTTCAGTTCCGGGATGAGGATTTTACAACGTTGAACGCGATATAGGGTGGCCGCTATCCGTTGAAACGAATGGGAAAGATGTAAGGCTTTGATTGTCTTAACGAAAGGGTGTTCAATGCGGCCCAGATGAGCTCGGTGATTCCGCAGACGTATTCATTTACTTTTCTAGACAGTAGTTTCGAAGGACGCGGCTGGCCCGATGTTTTCTGGTGAGATTTTTTTTTTCCAGCTCTCCATTTTAATCATTAATCCTGGTGGTCTTCCATTAATTGTTCAGTGACAATTAATATAGGAGGTTCGTATCGGCAAAAAAAAACACTCTTGGGCCCCTTTGCCTTGCATGAGCGAACGACTGAAAACTCCAAGCATCGACATGTTCACGTGAAATCAGAACTCAAAAAAGGAGCAAGTCTTGAATGTATGAATGAATGAATGAAGTGTGGGGGAAAGTGACACCAGAAAGCGATGTGTCAAAGGCAAAACTAACTACGAGCTTTCTCTATTGGTTTTCACAGGCGTCCCCAAATTAGCGGGAAGAGGGGGGGAAAAAACAACCTGACATACATAAGTGAGCGCGGACGAATGAGTATGCAAATCTAATGCACGGCGGAACACGCCACGGCGACTGCCACGGAGGTCCGGTTGAACTCGGATGTCGGTCTCTCGTTTCTACGCCAACCAAGCGAGCAAATGAGCCAATCAGCCTCGGACCTTACAGATCGGGATCTGGCGGGCGCCGGGCAAAACCGCCGCTATGGGCTGCATGGGATCAAAGCTCTTTTCTTTGACTTGGACAACACCTTGATCGACACTGTGTCTGCAAGCAGGGCAGCCATTGCAGAGGTACTTGCCATTCGCCCGTCTTCCTTCCTCCCGTGCACGAGGAAGGGAAACACATAAGTAGAGGTTGCAAGAGGCTGATTAGCAGGGGGGGGGGTCACCCTAAAATGTTTATTTTAGCTCTTGAAAGCCTTTTGAATTTAAATCACGGCTCCCCATCTCATTCTGGTGCATCAGCAGAACGAATGTGTTCCACATGCTTTGCTATCTTTTGAAAATGGGACATGCTGTAGTTCAAGCTGCACATTGATTATGGTCTTTTCATCATCAAGTTAATTTCCCATGCAGGGAAAATTGAACATTTTCAATAGCACCAGCTAAAAAAACCCACTCGACATGTGTGAGCTTCACCATTTAAAAAAAAACCTTTTCTGTTGCTACAGGTGTCTACAGTGGGAGGGAAGCTCTTTGCAATATAGCAGGCCTCCAAGTTAATACTGTACCTGACTGGGAGACTTAGATTAATTTAATCCTGCTGCTTTATGGAACTCACACACATACTTACAGCTGGTAACATTTTTGAAACATATATTCCACATTTCCACAATATGTGGTTTTTTTTAATGTAACTTTAGCACTCTCTTGGAGGAAGAACCTTAAAGCAGAGCCGTCTATGCCCCCTCTCCCCCTTCCTTACTCCCTCTCATAAGCAGTTTTATACACATGGGGTATATTTTTGGGAAACTCATTTATGATCTATGGGAGAAAATACAATTAGAATTCTAATTGTTTATTAACTTTACTGACATTTTTCTAAAATACGTTTGTACAAGTATTCTTCTGTATAGAAATATTGTACATTGTTTAAAATTTATATTTGTATTTTTAGTTTGTCAAACAATAGCAATAGCAATAGCAATAACAGTAGACTTATATACCGCTTCATAGGCCTTTCAGGCCTCTCTAAGCGGTTTACAGAGTCAGCATATTGCCCCCAACAACAATCC